TTAACTGTCTAATGAGCGCTTATGTCTTTAATACTGACTATTTTTGGATGTTTTAGGGTGATCTTCATTCCGAAACTGTCATCCCTCTCTTTTCGCAATCAGTTGGTGATAATCGATCCGGTATGCTACCGTTCGGATCCTATCGAAGGAACATATCGGATATTATTGACAATCATAAATTTGATAATTCTAAAGTATAGTGGAATTTTTTTTTTCAAAATTTTTGATTTTTAATAAAATTTAAAAGGCAATCAAATCTAAAATAATTTTTAGTGATAAATTTTAACATTCGAATATAAATTTCATAAATTTATGAATAAAAAATATATGTACTGTTTTAAAAATTTCAAGCATTTGAGGATACTGATATAAATTTTTGAAACTCAAAAAATTTAAATTTATTGTTTAAGCTCAAAGAGTGTGATCGTTTTATTCCAAAATTGATGCAAGGTGCAGTGCAGCCAGAAAATGCTGAGACTTTGTTTGGTCAGATTCGCAATCAGGTAATTTTTTTTTTTTCTCTACAAATTTATTATTACTACAAAGGTAACTTTCATTATATTCACTAATGTAACAAGTAAATGTAGAATTTTAAAATTTTTTTTATAAAGATTGAATATTGAATAAATAATGTAATTTTTGACTGGAAGATTAAACCTATTATTTGAGCTTAAATAAAGTAATCATTTCTATTTCAAAATTGATCATTTGATTATATCAATTAAAATTATTAGATAGTAAAAGATTTTCTCGAAATCTTTCTGAAAGAGAAATATTAAACATCATTCAAAATTGCTGTAAGTTTTTTAGACACCGCATGTGAAATATCTGGACTATATGTCGCCACAATGTGATCCAGGATCTCATACTTTTATCAGTCGACAATTTGCGCCGACATCTACCGAGAAAGCTGGCAGCACTATCATTGATAGACGACGAAATGTTATAGCTAATGCACAGGTTTTAAAATTCATACATTAGCGATCTACTTTAAATATTTCTAGGCTAAGCAGTATCAATTTTATAAATTTTTAGTATGACTAATTATAAAATGCAGTAATTATTGATTTGTTTATCACAAGGAAATGGATAAATTTGTGGTTATGATGGTTAAATTTAACGTGAACTTATTTCTTTCTCGAAATTAAAATTCAACAATTGCTTTTACGGATGAATTTCCAGGGTACCGGAAATGATATTGGAGTATTTGATCGTGCTTCTGAATCAATAATGCCACTTCTTTTCAATGTTCAAGATATCTATCCCAAAAGTGGAGCTGATTTTGGTGCTTTTCGACCACTGATAAGTGAATCAGAAGGCGGCTACCGGATGAGTTTAACTGATGAGATTAAATGCAAGCTTATTGTTCCGTATCAGGTTGATATTTCTTTGGTTATTTAAAATTATTTCAAATTACTTCCTAAACGAAATCAATTCCCTGCCAGTAAATTTGACGATGTATCTATAAAAAAGAAAAAAAATTCCATAAAAAGAACTTCATGGAATGAAAGAACACTTAAAATGTCTTCTTCCATTATTCTTTCTTCTTTCTCTTCTTCATTTTTCCTCTGTCTTTCTCTCTCTCTCTCTCTCTCTCTCTCTNTCTCTCTCTCTCTCTCTCTCTCTCTCTTTCTCCCTCTCTTCCTGCGCCTCTTCATTCATCCTCACTTCCAAACTTCCTGATTTTTTTTTCCACTGAACAAAAAAATAGATTACATAAGCATGCTTAAATATCCATCATTTTCTTTTTAAAATTCAAACTCAAAAAAGTGTTATATTTTACAATTTTCAGACATCGTCATCACTTGCAACATGACAGAATACAATTTCCGTAAATCCTTTCTGGATTTACTTAACGGATTCGATAATGACTTATTATTTATTTGTACGTAGTTGTATTCTTCCATCTTTAAGGGTATCAATAAATAATTCAAATGTTTTAAATAAGCAATTTGTTTGATCATATTAATCTATGTTAGTGAGATAAATGCGATTTGGTTGTTAGATGGTTGTTTTTCCTTTTCCGGAAAAATATTCTTTTTTAAACTTAAATAATTGCTTCCTCTTCAGTAATCAAATTATCAGTAACAGTAGTAGGTGAAATATTTAAGGAAAAGTCCGAAAAAGTTATCTGAGGAGAAGAAAACTTGCTCAGTTAATAATAATTACACTCTATTTGCTATTGAAAAATGTTATTTTTAGCTTTCAATTTTAATTTTCAAAAGTTCCGCTAAATTTATATTTCTCGTGATCAAGAATAAATAATAATTCGAACGATCACAGTCTAATAATAATCATTAATAATGCTGGTCATTAAATTACGTGTAATTCGTTTTTTTTAGAAATAAAATTTTTATTTATTGATTGAATCGGTCATTTCTCATTCCACATGAAATATGAAAGAGAACTAAAAAGGAGAAATAGCTTTGAAATGATAAATTTCAGTAACTTTTCATGCATACTATTTTATAAGCGCCTTTATCGAATTCAACTTTTTTTTTGCGATTTTTTTTTCTATCATTTAAGAACCAAAAATATTGTTAAAATTTAACTTCTACTGGAAGATCTTTCTTGCAACAGTTAACCTGTGCAAAAAATAAAACTGACCTCTTCCCAAATTACTTGCTCAGTAGATTACCTTATCAAAAATTGCAATTTTTTTTTTTTTTGCTCACTTAATTTTACAAACCAGTAATTTTAACACTTTTTGCTTTGAACTTTTTAAAAAGTCCACAAAGAATAAAAATATCAAGCACTAAAGAAAATCACTGTTACGGAGTATGAATTTTATAATAAAATTTGACTGCAATAAAAATATTAATTCATATCTGATTTATTTATGATATTTAAAATCTAATCGTTTTGAAACAATTTCAGTGCAACATTGAAATGATAATTAAATTTTAAAAAACTTAAAAAATAATATTCTTTTTGATATGAACAATGAAGTGATGAATTTGTTCCAGTGATTATCATTTAGGTCATCAGGTTGGTTTACAACAACAATAATTTCGTTCGATAAAACAAAATTGGTGAATCTTTTTTTTTTTCTTCCTAGACAGATAAAAATGTTAACGACCGACATAAATGTACCGATATCCTTTTTGTGTCACATTGATTTTTAATTGATCACAGAATTTCAATAAATTTGCTAAAAATGTTTAGACAATCAAATAATTCCTTAAAGTAAAAATTGAAATAGCAATAAATTCTTAACCGAATATTGCATTAGTTCTGGTCTTTGTAATTATCTAAAATAATTTCATGTAACTGTTTTATCTGTGATCATACTTGGAATGAAGTAATGATAAAATTACAATTGAAGAAATATTGGACAGGAATGAAATTCTTGGATGGATGAAATTGTTGAGAGTATATTTAAAAATCTTATGATTTGAAGTGAATTGTTAACATTTTTCATTTATTTCGTTTTTTTTTTTCATCACTTTATTGAAACAATTATTATTCATAATTGTTGGCGGTAAAGTTCGACAAAAAAAAAAGAGATATGACGACAAATGTATGGCAATATTGTATAGGTTTTTTATGATAAATTCGATGATAAATTTAATATCATTAGTTTCAAATTTGTTAGCAAAATTGCTCAGCAAATGATAAGCATGAAGTGATGATTAAATTGATTGTATTTTAAATTGCGCAAGGAAGAAAATTTATCTTTTGCTAAATTTATTTTGCGCCTCATTTCCTTTTTCTAACCATTTCATTTCCTTCAATTTTCTCTCATACAACTATAAAAAAAAAAAAAAATACTTCTTTCCTACTAAATGCCCGTGAAAATTCGAGAAAGAAATGAATGAATAAAACAATTATGCACAAATCGACTGATAATAATGTCAAAAAGTCATTCATTCGAAAAATTTTTTGTATTGTCATTTATTATGGATTTTGTTTGAATATGAAATGATTTAATTTCTTTATTTCTATTGAAATTCAAAATTTTTTCCTCTATTTCATTGCGCTTCTTTCCTATCCTTTGGCATAGCATTTGGAAATTATTCTTTTAATTTTATGAAAACTTCAAAAGTTTTAATTCAAAAATCATCAAGCTAAAATTCATGTAACTCAAGTTTATTCTTCATTTCAATAAAATGATTGCATTTTACATCGTCACAGATGATAAATGATCATTAATAACAAAATGCGGAGCATTCCCGCAATAAAATTGCATCGCTGAAGAGAAAAACCGGGACAGAAAGGGATGAGAAGGAAAGAGAGTGAGAGGGTGAGAGGGTGAGAGAGAGAGAGAGAGAGAGAGAGAGAGAGAGAGAGAGAGAGAGAGAGAGAGAGAAGGAAAGACGGTACTGAATTTTATCTCTTTTATTTGGTTCATTTCAAATAATATGAAAAGTTCCTCCTCTATTCTACGAAAAATTTTATTACATTGATGAAATTTCAATCAAAATTTCCAGGCACGAATAACACCATACGTTCCAGGTCTTTCCTTTTCTTTCCTTTCCTTTCCATTCCATTCCATTCCATTCCTTTTATCAATCTTTTATTATTCTTTTAGTAGCATACGAATGTCATTCTTTCTATTCAATATCATGTTATCAGCGTTTCTTCTCATCATTACATCTATTTAACTGGAATAATCCTATCAAAATGCTTACATCTCTACACCATTCTTCATTTCTCTTATCAAATTTAAGATTTTCCATCTAATTGTTAATGCAAAAATTCGAATTAATTAAAATTTTCATTATTCGTTGAATTAATAAAATCTTTCAGATCCTCTCCCACTGGAATACTTATTATCAAAAATTTATCATTTTAAACATATTTACACGTAAGAATGTTATTCCTACATAAAATCATTTATTATTGTTGGGAATAAGAATTTGCATGACGAAGCCGTGGAAATTGCAAGCGCTGAGAGACAGAAAATGATGCAGATGGGTGGAGGGATGTGTGGGTGGTGTGGGGAGGGGGATTGTTTGGGGGCGATGGGTTAAATGGTAGGAAGGTCACGGTGTCACATGGTTGAAAATTTTGGATGGACAGCGTTATCCTCTCTCTCTCTCAATTTTCTATCATTTAAGCAAAGTGTTTCATTGCTACCAATCGATTTGCCCTTTATATGCTATTGTTTTAAATTGTGATTGTTTTTTTCTTAATCTAATTAAATTATGCATTTAAAGACAGTAGACAATGCATACATCATTCCAGCAGGTTGAGATGTACTGAATTTATTTATAGGATTGAATACGATTACTTTAGGAGGGTTGATGATGATGATGATGATGATGATGATGATGTGAGAAAATAGGACGACAAATAGACATATTTGAGAGTGAGAATTAAGCAAGATTTAATAATATTTAACATTTGGGTAAAATCTCGAGAAATCCTAATGCATTGTGAGTTGAAGTAAATGGAATGAAAGGATGATTGTGAAAATATATGATAATCTTCTGCTGATGTAAATTGTTTTGACAGATGACAAACATGATTACAATCAATTCCTATATTACAGGACTAGAAAACAAATCTTTATTTGACTGCCTTACTCAAAGTTAAGTTCTTTTGTCATTGTGTTTTAATGTTCAATTCCTGCATACTCTTTTTTTCCTTATCCGTTGTAATCAGTCTTGGTTTTTTTTTTTTTGCTAAGAATGAAATAAAATGGCTTACATACTTTGTCATTAAAATGCACTTCCAAATGGATGTAGCAAAAAAAGGAAGTAAGTAAATGATTTTATTCGTGTTTTGTTTGCATCAAAATCAATCAGTGATTGTTAATAGAAGTGTAAATGTGAGCTTTGTTTATTTATTCCTTTACCTTCTTGAAGGGATGGATTATCGGCAATTTCCGTTGTCTTTTATGTATACAAATATGCCCCTTTTCTCTTTCTCTCTCTCTCTCTCTCTCTGCATGCTACGAAAAAAGTTCATTTATTAATGAGTAGCAATGAAAGTTACTAAATTCAAAAAGATTAATGGTAAAAGATGTCACAGCTAAATCACAGTAAATGTACAGATCTAATTACCTCAAAATATTTCATAACTATCAATTTTTCAAGTCATATTTCAGCTTTTCAACCATAACTATTAATCAACAGTTTTAAATTCTCTTCAAGATAAACTTCATGCTTTTTAAATGTTAGCTTATTTACAGCTTGATGAGTTAGGGAATTCGGAATCTTTTCTGGGAGAGTTTATCAACTCTTAATTGATGCTAATCATACTAAAACTGAAATACTTATTGCTTTGAGTTCATAGACGTCCCTGATGTTTAAATTCAACAATCTGGTGATGATACAGTAGCTGTAGTTTTAGTTTAGGCTGCTTGTTTGATTTTTAAACACTTTAACATTTTATTTCTATGCTGTTAGAAGCATCCATCAAAGGAAAGCATAAAATAAGGTGCAAAGGAGAGGCATTCCATTCCAATCTAATTTCTTTTTTTTTTTATACGAAACAAATAAAAGAAAGAGCGTTTTGGCTCAGCTTTTCTAATATAACACAGATAATTCAGCAGGATATGATATTGCCTGCCGATTCATTTCAAATGTGTCGTATTGTCATATCATCGTTTTAACTGCACGCAATAACATTTTTTTGATCATTGGTTTTCGTTGATTATATTCAGCTAAACAAAATATGTCATATTTGATCAAAATACGTCATGCATATCATATATTTAAAATATATCATACTTCCATTGTTTATGATTCAATACGATTCACTAACGTAGTTATACTTCCAGGAAAGTGATAGCAGTCAAGGGCGGTTTAACAATAATTGGCAGGAAAGAATTGTAGAACTTGATTTGAAGAAGTCTATCTGAACAACAAAGAAGAGACTCCTTTATATCGTGAAAATCAAGGGGGTTCTCAAGGGAACTGTTCGGAATTGATGGGTGGACATCGACGCGACCAAAGTGATTCCCATGTACCTCTTCGGCAATCTATCGAGTTTCAACAATGTATTTCAAGTAATAGTGAAGATCAGATTCGGTCTCCCACTGAAGCATCGTTGAATATCGCCGAGCCAGTACCTAATGGAACAGTCAGCTCCATAACCTCAGTCGATTTGCCGATTTATCACAATGATTGCATTATTCATCGACAACGAAGAGTTAGTGATTTCCTGAATTATTTATTTATTCATTTAAATAAAATTTGTAGAATTCATGCAAAATAATCGCTTACATCTACGCTTTTGAAGTGGTTATAAGCTTAAACTATATTGGTTAATCTTGTTAACGAAAGTAAATAAAAAATTGTAAAGGCTATTCTTTCCTTTCGGAGAAAGAGGCGGTATTGTTTCTTTACTTTATGTTTCAAGTTAGACAAACTAGAGAAGCTGCATATGTTTTAAAACTCCAAGAAAATAGTGAATATTGTATAAGAGAACAACCTAATTATTCAGAAATGAGTAAATTATTGAGAAAATGATAACCATTACATAGTCATTGTTTCTTAATGTTTTGATCTATTGATTATTTGCTAGAAATCTAGTTCCAGTTTTCAGTAACACTTGATTTTATCTCATTAATATTATTTCTGCATATAATTGACATGTAAATTTTGCAGTAAGCTGCTTTTAAAGTACGATGTAAATAATTTGTCATTAATTCATAGTTTCTAAGGCATTTCTGTTGTCTAAAGAGTATAGAGAATGTTAGAAAACAGCTACTTAACTGTGGCGTGCAATCATAAGTTTCTAAAATAGTTTACAACTGCAATTTCAAAAAATAACATGTTCGAATTGAAATTCAAATTTTGTGCCAATCGAAAATTAAACGAATTCATAGAAAACATACTGTAGGTGTATATGTGTATGCGTGAGAAATGAGCAAACATCATTTTTATCATTGCTGGTTTTTTGTGTGGTGCATGATAATGTTGTTGTTGCTTGCTGAGACGTGATTCCATTACTGATGCTGCTTCGATTTCCCTTAAACTGCATTTTTTTCCCAAAATGGTGCTTTATCGCAGTTATGAACGAATTTTTATCACTTTATCAGTGTTTATTTTAAGTTGATTGTGCCGCAAAAAATAATATAAGTTTGTCTGGTGGGAATAAACTTTTAAATTTTGAATGTATTACATTCAGCGAAATTGATTCGTGTTTTATGAATTATTCATAATATGCAAATAATTTTTTCATTGTACACGAATTTTATAGTAAAGCTAACTAGTAGTTTGCAAATAGTATTTTCTACAGCTAGGTTTCTGAAAGAAAAAATGTAGGAGCCAATGAATTCACATTCCTGTGGGACTCATATTTTACAAATTCTGGCAGTTGTTAAAATGTGAAATATTCATTGTAGAATTCTTAAGAATAATTTATTTTTTGTCTTTCATTTCACGGAATTATGATTTCTGAGATTTCTTTACGTACGCGTTCTACTGTCTTTATGCGACATATAAATGTATCAAAAAAAAAAAATTACTTTTTGTGTTTATAAAAAGAAGTTCGTTTGTTTTTTTCTCTTCTATGTAAGTTAAATTTAGAAGTCAATGAGATCTTTGAGCCGAAATGGTGCTTAAGAGGTTCAATAAATAGGCATTAGACAGCGCACTTCAAAGCTTGTTTTTCCGTCGGGAATGACAGCGAACAGAACATGTTACGAGCACCATTATCGTAATCGTCGTAACGGAACTACTCTATTTTAAGCAGTAATTTAGGGCGGAATAGAAGTTCCTGTATTGAGCTTCTTTTTTCTCATCATAGACGGTTGTTTTAGCGTTGTTCGATTTTTAGAGGTTTGCACTATTATCTGATAGAAAATCCACTTCCTCCTTTATGGCAGTATCATTTAGTTTTCACATTAAAAGCTCCGATGTCGCTTTACTCGATCTATATTCGAGTTCACCTTGTTCAGTTTATATGCATTGTCAAAAAAAGAATTCTTTTAAGGTCAAACTTCAATTCAACTAAATCGCTACTTTAAATAACGAAATCAGGTTTTCATTGTTGTAATTCTGATGCTACTGATTTTTTTTCGCAGATTATTCAAAAGGGAACTTATCGCAGGTGGTATGATACCACAATGATTACTGCTATACATAAGCAGCAGCATTCGGCACAAATCCCCTTGGCAAGTTCTTGAATATTTATAAGTTTCTTCTATTTTATAATCCATCTTCTGTAGTATTAACTTTTTTCTCTTAAAAAGCTGTAAAAGCCCTTGTAAGTTGCATAAAGCTGGGCTTTCTGCCGGTAGCACGCGTAGTTATTGCTTGTTAACCAACGACATTCGAAAATATGCAATGCTATACATGTTTTTATCGGTTTTGAGAGATGAAGAAAGATAGGATCTGTTTCTTTTTTTTATTATCTGATTTTTCTTTAGAAATTCGTTTTTGTATTTTCTTTCGAAGATTTTATCATAGTATTGATTGGTTTTATCTATGTTAGAAAGCTTAAATTTTACTTAAGTTTTAACACTGTGTGCTTATTGATATTACTAAGTAATTCCATCTCCACATTATATATTGTACTGCTTGCATTGTGATATATCTTACTTCCCAATCTGTTTTCATCACGCAATGACACTGTTATTCTATCTGTTTTCCCTCGCTAAATGTTTTGTATTTCTATTTCCTGACCTTTGAATGAAAACTAGATTTGTTTTCATACTATGTTTAGTAGTCAACAATGATAGATTTTTTTTTTTTGATCATAATTTATTATTAAATCGTCCATTATTACTGGAATTTTTAGCGATATAATTTATTCCAGTGTTAATATTGGATTCTATTTTATTCTTTTTTAGTTTATTTCTTTCCTTAGCCATCGATTAATGCAGTTCTTTTGTTCCAGTTTTTCTACAGCAATTTTCAATAGTTATCCCATATAATTTCTTTTGAGAATTTGACTATGTGATATGTGGCAGTAGCTCAATTTTTCGTAAATTATTAACCTTGTTATTTTTATAATTATATACAAAAATTATTCTGGTTATTTAGATACAAAAGTATGTTTGTTCCATTCTTTTTGATTTCTTTTCTGTAGTTTTTTGGATAAAAATCTTACCTTAATGTTTTAAATGCCTACATTACTCTTCTTTTTCATTTTGGTTGTACATAGCTATTATAGAAAATCTTCCCAGGATAGGAAATGTAAATTTTACAAAAAAAAATTTTTTTTGCGAAAATAAAGTGTTAAAATCTTTATTAAGACGAGTAAAAAAGCCTTTTGCATGAAACTTGAAAATTATGGGAAGCTTTTCCAACTGACTTTTAATATTCACATTTCACGATAAATAAAACTTTTCTTAACATATGTATGAGATTTCAGTCAGTCATATTATATTTAAAAAGTCGTGATAAACTTTAAAAGTATTTTTGAAATTCATGACGAGGATTTTTTTTCAGGCATGGCAAAAGGAAGCATTGAAAACATGTGCTGCATTTTTTTGCTTGTTAATATCGGCGTTCCTCAATTTTTTTCTACTCACTGTGATTCACGATATAGTACCGAGAGAACCCCTTCCAGACCTCGTTTTTATGCTGATACCACAGCAGAGGTGGGCTTGGGTTGTCGGAGATATATTTTCCACTTTAAAGTTAGTTTTCTTTTCATTCTTTCTATTAATGAGTTGAGTCACACATCGGAGAAAAGTATTGTAAAAATCCAGCATATTTTATAAGCTGTGAGCAAATCAAGGAGATTCTGGTCACTTTCTGCCTCGAAGTTCAAGCAAAACAAACTTTTGCAACTTGGCCGCTATTGTCACTGTCATAATTGTTTAGGCATTCATTTTATCCCATCTGTTTTTGCTGATATTCGATCTAGTGGTAATTTCAGAATTAATTCTGAAATTGCCTTAATTATTTGGCCGTAATATTTTTTCAGTGCTGTACTTGGCTTCACATGTGTTCTGTTGCATAAGAAACGGTTAATAGTATTTCGTCGTGTGCTATTACTTGGGGGAATTATGTATGGTTTACGGGCAGTAGTTCTTGGACTGACGTTTTTACCTCCATCATTTCAAAATCGTGATGAAATATGCTTACCGCAAGTTAACAGAACTGCCATGTATGCTACGGAAATAACAACAAGGTAGCGGTTTATTATTCATTTTGATTCGATATTGTTGCTGTGCAGAATACAATCGGTGTAATTTCATTTTTGAATACAGTCATCGTGATTTTTCGCGTTAATGGCGCACCCCAAAAATGGATTTAAATTCAATATTTTTGCTCTTTATGGCTTTCAATTTCAATTTTGGGATTTACAGTAACATATTATTTCAAATGTATTTCGCATGTGCTAACATATTAACAATATCAGAGTATTATGAAGGAAAAAAAAACTCTTTCATTAATCATGAATGGCCGAAATCAGTGTTGAAGTGCAACAGTTATTTGTCTTATTTTATTATAAATTTCAGATTTGTAACATATGTTATAACGTTGGGTCTAACTTCGGGTCAGGACAAGATTCTTTGTGGCGATCTCATGTTCAGCGGTCACACCGTTGTATTAACGATCATGTACTTCACCTTACTTCAATACACGCCAAGGAGATTGGTCTATTTACGGTAAGTTGTGAATTGTTAATACATAGCTTGAAATATATTTCGAAATTGAAAGTTTATGACAGAGATCTTATAGATACATCGCAGCACCATTAACATACATCGGAATAGCAGCACTGGTCATTTCGGGCGGTCATTATACAATGGATGTACTCATAGCTTACTGGCTGACCAGTCATATCTTTTACGCTTACCATCAAGTTTTTGAAATGCCGAGGTTTGTTCCAAATTCCTCTTCTAAAAAATATAACATTTTTGTTTTGACTTTGTAGATAGGTTAATATTATTTGAAGATTGGTGAAAATGCATTTGTTAGCAAAGTGTTTTTTTCCTCCATTTGCAGTGGTGCCTCATTCATTTATGTGAGCTTTAAGTTGTTTTTTGATGGCAGAGATCTGGAAGTTTTGTGATTTTGATGTTCTTAGATTTTTTAGAGTAGAAAGGACCAAGGCACCTCTTTCTCATTTATGGTGGTTTTGGTTATGTTATTGGTTTGAAAGCGATGTGCCAGACGGTGCATTACGAAACGAATGGGATTGGCCATTACCGGGTCCAATCTGTATACATCATTTTGTTCAACGAATAAGCGATAAATTACAATAGTATCCCTGAACTTCATGTTCAGCAGTTTCAAATTTTATTTTTTGTCTGCCGTCTTCGACTATCTTATAGTTACGCTTTACAGTTCATATTTTAAAAGCACTATTTTCTTGTGAAGAGTTGAATGATTTGCCGTTTTTGTTAGAGCTTTAAGAGACCAAAAATCAACTTTTCCACTTTCAAAAATTTCTAGATTAGTGAAATTTTAATTTTTATGCTTCAAACTCCATAAAAGTATGACTTATATTCTAAACGAGCTTTCATCTCGACTGTTGAACGCTTTGGATAATTCAAACAATTCATTTTATTATTATTCCAAAATTTTTGTATATATTATATATAGAAAAAATTTTAGTTTTGACGGGAAAGGCTTTATGTTAATGGAGACTATTTCCACAATACTTTTGCCGTAGGAGAGGTTCCGCCACCATTTATCAATAAATGTAATTATGGATTTTTCGTTTTTTCTTTTCTTTGATTGTATCAATGTATACGCATCATTTCTATACACATTTTCAATATTACGTGTTCCGCTATCCAAAATGCTCACTTAGAGCAACAACCACTCGAAATTTCAGGTATAATTCAGAATTTGCGTAACTTTGACGACAGTGACAATCGAAATAGTAGTTGAAGGGCATCATAAACCTTATGCAGTTTTTATATGTCAGATATTTTGTTTTTTTTTCTTTTTTTCAGAAACCGTCAAAGTTTCGGAGTTCTGTGTTGCCAAGTCATATTTGTGAAATATTTTTTGTTGGTGTAGTTGTCTGTATATTTACTAGAAGTTTGTTTTTTAGTCTGCTTAATTTATTATTTAAATTGCAAGCTTAATGATAATTTGTCTTCGCTGCACTGGAATACTTGATCAGTTTTTATTTGTTTTGAGATATTATTCCTTACATTTTTTTTGTTGGTCTAATAATGCCTTATAGGCTTGTTGTACTTATTTTCACATGCTGCAATCGTTTCCGTCATGCGCTAAACGCTAAAAAAAGCTTAATTTGAGCGTGCTTTAAAGAGTTTTCCATATTGTTGTACATTTCATGAACTCAGTTACATCTTCACTTTTTCAAACGTATAAGAGATGTTAAACTATTCCAGTTGCGTTTCCTTCTGAAGAGCAGAACTGATATTCATAAAATAGTATTTTGATAGGACGTTGTCATTGTTATTAGTTAGTTTTTTACCTACTTAATTTGTAAAAAGTAGTGAATTTATTCAAAAACCTGTATGCTTGCCACTTATTCGTTCCAATACATTAAAGAATCTCCCAACTGTGCTTGAAGTTTATCTCTTACATCTTTTTTTGTTTGCTCTCCCGAAAATATTTCGACTTACTGTGTGTTTTGTCCCCTTTTATAATTCTTATATTTATTCACTTTTCAGTAAGTGATAAAAGTTGACTTTAATGTGGACTCTGTATTACTCGAGATTTGAAAAATGTAGATCTAACATTTAATGTTTAAGAAATCCAAGAGGATTTGGGCAGGGATGCTGCACTCTTGTCGATCAGTACGTGAACGAATTGTTTGAAACTGCTGGTTTAGATAAATTCAATTTGATATTGATTGTGTTGGCATTTTCAACAGGTGTAGGATTATTGTATCATCAAGATGAAAATGCTAATACGGAATCATACGGGAATAGTTGAGTGCAGTTAACTGTTTAAAATTCGAGACAAATTTATTTCTTAGATTTGACAGTAAGTTCGAGATGCCCGATTTCATCGCTTTCTTATACATATATTTCCCAGTTAAACTCATATCTTTTCTGTACTTTCCGTCAAAAAGTTAAAATTAACTAACCTAAGAAGACCAAGTGATTGCGTAGATTAACGTAGACTAATGAAAAGTTTGTTTCCAGCTGGAATGACGTGGGATGTAATTTCATTGCGTTCCATTCTGTAATTTGTGCAACAAGAGCAGGAAATGTTGTTGTTATTGTGGTTGTTTTCTACGCGTATCGCTCGTGATGTGGATTGTTTCACGTGAGAATTTGATGGAGAAAATGTTAGGTCTTAAATGATGGATAGCATTTGAGTTATTTGTCTTTTTGATTTCATTGGAAAACTCTTTATAACAATTTTTTTCTCAAACTTACAATTCTAAACGTCATTTCTGTCTCACGATGTCTTATGAGATTCTGTGGAAAATCTCATTTAGATTCGTGAGATAGAAATACCGTTGGAATGCTAAAAAAACTATGATAATTCAGTTGCAATTAAATTGTTGAACCAGTTTTTTTTTTCTTCATAAATTTTTTCCTTTTTTAGATAGGAATTGTATTTGGAGATGTGACTATTTTGGAACGAGCTTCATTTCAACATGATATTTGGGGTTGAAGCTTTGAAAGATTCGCAGAAGTTCTCTGAAGCCCAATTTG